AGAGAGAGAGAGAGAGGATCTGTGGCTAAAATCTCTCTCAAAGACATTTTGCCTGTCTTTAGACCCACTAATAGTACCATTAAGATCTTTACTTTAATGGCCCTATTAGTGCGATTGTTCCGACTTCAATTTAAACGATTGTAATTCCAACCATGTTCGCAGATGAAGAAGCCTTTCGGATCAGAAGTAAAACATCCTCATGAAACAAGAGAACTCCAGCTCCTTTCTACTAAATTACTTATAATTAACATTTACCAGATGACTGAGAATCTGCATCTGTTTTTCCTTGACACTGTTTACAATATAGTTTGTTATCTTAATGTGCTAAAATGGAGAAAAGCATGTCAACACTTTGACAAAGGATGAAGCTTAGCGAGTCACGCTCAGATTCTTCTGAACAGCAGCCAATCTTGTGAACAAGCCTGCTGTGTGCTCTCAGAATCCCCGAGTGTTTCAGCAGCAGGACTGTGTGGGGTGAAGGAATGAATGGTCAGAGTATAATGACACTAATGTATAAAAACAACAGAATGTTAGCTCTACTACACTATTACAAGGCTGCGCTCTGTGCGCCAAAGAATTCAATCAGCACACGTTTTTTTGGAAACTGATCATCTTTCAAGGTTCCTGCAGTCTTTGGTGAGGATTTACCGCCACCTTCTACTCCAGACGTCTAAGGCTACGTTCACACTGCAGCATGAAGTGACCCAATTCCTATTTTTTTGCACATATACGACCTGTATCTGATCTTTTTAAGACAGATCAGATTTTTTCAAATGCGACCACTTGGCAATATGGTTCTGAATAAGTATCTGATCTATTCAAATGCGACCAGTGTCTGAACGGCCAGGTCACATTGATCCAACCTACGTGTCATTTATCATAAAAGAACAAAATATGCTCTTGACAAATTGAGTTTGTCAAGAGAAGTTTTTTTTTCTTTCCCTTCTTTTTGACATACTGATTTTTGTGCATTTACTTTCCACTGTATAATGTCCTCATAAGCCCCTGACATGAGCAGACTTCAATTTAATTCCGTTTTATTTATATAGCTCAAATTCACAACACATGTGATCTCAAAGCACTTAACAGAGAAGTCAACATACAGACAGGTTGGTTCAAAGATTTTTTTCAAGGAAAACAAATTGATTGCTTTGAGTCATTGACCTGCAAGACACACTCCACCTGAATAAGCTTGAGGCCATGACTTTTGCTTTTATCATTGACTCGACAGCAATCCCTCACACCCAGCAAGCCTGCCGCAACAGTGCAAAGGAAAACTCCCTTTTAACAGGAATAAACCTCCATCTGCCTTCTGCAGACATAGAGTGGATAAAACCCTTTCTAAAGTGCATTATATACAAGCTGTCATACATACTTGCTCTTTTTTATGGTTTTAAAAGCTACTTACATGTCTTCTTTATTTTGAACACAATTTTAGCTGTCAAAACAAAGACATTAATGGAAGAGATCGCTAAAGTGGGCAATCTAAACATGGATGGAAAAACAAGGAAGAATTATGAAACAAAGGGGCACATTGATGAAATATTGTACTGCAGACAAGTTGGATTGATGGTTGGATGGATATATGGAGTGAAAAAGGAACAGATGGAGGACTGGATGGATGGACTATAAGAAGAAGAGAAGTAAGGGACAGACGGTTAGACTACAAGGAATAGAGATGGCTGGATAGGTTTAGAGTTAAAATAAATACACTAAACAGATATAATTCACAGATCATTGGAGACAGCCAAAAGTCTATAGATACAAATAGATTTCAATAATTTATTTCCACTTGTGCTTATCTACCCTGAATAATCGTATTTCAGATTTCACAGGAACTAAGGCTGCATGTTAATAGAGGTGATTGAGATATTATCTTTGAATGCTTCAAGTAATGTCAGCTTTATTATTTTTTTTAAATAACGAGCTCAAAGTTCACTTCACACAGATGAAAATGAATTAGCTCATGTTCATACTTCACTTTAAAAAAATATGAAGTTCACAAACCTCTAAAAGTTCCAAGGTCATTTGGTAAATTAAGCCATTGATTACCAAATGGAGGCACGCGTACCACGAGTGCATGGCAAGGGGTACATGAAAATATTTTATTTCTTAGGTATTAAAACAAAATAGGGCTGGGATACGTTTTGTGAGGACCCAATTGAAAAATTAAGCAAGCTTTTATGTCTGAGTTCACTAAAACGAAGCAGAGGAACAAACCATTAGTAAAGAACAGCCTGGTATCTGCTGTTCTTCACACTGATCTATTGAAGCTCATCAAAGCAGCTCAGATGTCTTAATGAAAACAAAGTAAAACAGTGTGACTATAATTTTTGTTTTGTACTTTATTCCCAATTCATGAAGTTTAAATGTGATTATAAAGGAGTTACTCAGAGGAGCTCCAGTTTTATAAATACAGGTTTATAATATGATTTCCTTTAGTATTTCTGTTCAACTCCTTTCTAACTTCCACTTCCAGGCTGCATACTTATCTTTTATTTTATTTTATTTTTTTTGTTTTGAGATGGAAAGAATGTAATGCCTAAGAATTTAACAGGTTAAAGAGATTAAGTATAATAGTTCTCCTTTTATAATCAGTGATTGTACATTTCACTCTTGGACAATCAGCAAAACTTTTGACTGAGAGGGGTTCTCATGGTAAGACAAAATGCCCAAAGGGATACACAGTTCAAAAAAGGTTGGCAACCAGTGAATTACAGTAGTAGATGTTCAAAATGTCCCCACTTTCCTTGATGGGCCCTTGGCTGGTCACCTAAGATGACGTTTTTAAACATTAATGTTTGTTCTAAACTATTCTGTCATGATTTGTGGACATTAAGATCTAAAGAGAAGCGCCTTCTCCGGGTCAGACCGTGTAATTCAGTGAAAGGGTGGAGTCAGAGTAAAAATATATGCAAGCTCAGGAGAAGGAGGTGGTCACTCCAGTGGCTGGAAGTTGGCTGCCATTCGGCATCATATTTAACCCTTTAAATAAGTAATCATATTACATATAAAGAAATGGAAAAGACTGGATGCAGTGAAGGTCTACTGTATGTGCAGTGCAGCCTTTATTTAGCCAAATTACACAGAACTTCAGAAACATACAGGTACATTCAGGTTCTGCTGAAAATATCTATCAAAAATTATTTATTATTGTTCTCATTCAGATGCAGATATTTCCCAAGATAGCTTGGATGCTTTAACCCAATGTGTCGCTTTAAGTTTTAAGTGGACGTGGCTGACGTACAGACTGGTTTGTTAAATCCTGGTGGGCACAGTTAGCACAAAAACATGTTTTCTTTCTTTTGTTAGCCCAGTTTTGCAGAGAGCCAAGCTCTCTGCAAAACTGGCATCCGAAATACCAGCAGATGAGTCTGAATTGCACACAGCAGTATTAGAAGTAGACATGCTGGTCTATCATGCTGTTAGCTGTAATAAGTGCTGTAAAACCTGATGTTATCAATTGAAAAGTGTTGTTATCAACTGAAAGCAAACATGAGCTGTGTGTGTGTCTCTTGTCACTACCCGATCCGTCCGGGAAGCAAGAGCCGTACCATCAGCTAATTTGCGCAATCAGATATACAACTGGGTTTCAATAAATAAAGTAATTATGGTACTAAAATTACTTATTTCTATCCTTTACTCACTAAAGAATGCTAATACACATCTTTAAAAAAAAAGGTTTTAGGACCTTTTCCAAGACAATTTGATGCTTTTTACATTTTCTGCTTGTCTGACGTCATCATCGGACATGCTCAGAGCATTCTGGCAAAATATGATTAAACCATGCTTTTCTGCAATTTAGTTGTTTCTTTCTTTAGGTTACGCACTATATACCATAATGTTAACACAAAAGGAAAACGTAAAACTCAAAAAGTTTTATGTTTAAATCCAAAGCCAAATAGTTAGTTTCTGGAAGTAGCATATGATCCCATTTCCTGTATCAATTAGGCACAGACGAGTGATATAACAGAAAGGATTTTAAGGCATTTATTTTCTCAGGAAATTCATTATTAACCTTTAATGCAATATAGTTTAGTACGCTCATTATTTTAGGGCAGGGAAATTATGACGTCTGACAAGCAGTTTAACAGACAAAATGTAAAAAGCATCAAAACTGTCTCAGTAGTGTCATTAATTTTTTTTTTTAAAGATGTGTATTAGCATTCTTTAGGGATTTAAGGATATAAATAAGTACTTTTAGTACCATAATTATACTTTTTATTGAAACCCGGATGCATATCCGGTTGCACATTTGCAAATGAGCTGATGGTATGGTCCGTGCTTCCGGGACGGATCGAGTAGTGACAACTTTCATTACTTCAAAACTGATCCCTTGATGGCATTGATGCACAACATTGAGCTGCACACCATCATTGGTGTAAGGTGTGGGTATCTACTGTTCCATCTACAGTATAATAAAGTTCATGGAGATTCAGTGAATTAATTTATGACACTTAAAAGTATAGTTGAGGATTTTGGTGAATTTTCGTGCACTCCCCACTCTAAATAAAAAATGCACATGCCCAACCCTGTACCCGCTCCCGAGACGGAAAGCCTGTTAAAGGTGTGTTAGAGCGTGCATAAGCCTATTTCTCCCTATTCACGCTCTGTTTAAAAGTTGCTGTTTGCATCGCTCATACAAGCTTAAGGGCGGATTATACTTCTGCAACCGCACACATCAAATGTCTCTTAGGTCTGGACGCAAACAGTTTTGCTGGTATGCTTATGCAACGTCGGCCTGCAATTTCTAGGGACGGACAGCAGTTTCCCACCACAGCGCGAGGGGGAGCCTATTCCAGAACACTCGAGAACTTTGCCGGATGGTCACAAGAATTTCTTCTGTGGCGCCGGCGGGAGTGCTTATTTTCCAAAACATGTCTGAGGCATCGTTAAAGTGGTTGTAGTTCGATTGTTGTTATTACTCCTTTTCAAAAATGGTGCACCCGGGCCCCGAATCGAGAAGGAGGACCACACAGACAGCCGGAAAGGCATACCAAGGACCAATCACAGCTGCTTTCTGTCTGCGCACCTCTGCTTGAGGTCTGCACGGGTTTGCGACAGTCCAACATGTTTTCAGGATGTTTTTGAAGGTTGCAGAGCCTCTGCGTGGGGGGGCGTGGTCACGCACAGAGACAGATTTGGGTTGCAGAGGCTATGCATTAAGTATAAATTGGCCTTTAATTTCTAAAAGAGGATTTGCAATTTTTCCACTATTTCAGACTCACCATTGGTAAGTGAAAATGGGGAGGAGCATGTAGGACGGCCTTATGTAAACATATCACCAGAATGATTGACGATAAGGAGGACCACCTGTTTTGATGATCAACCTGGAAAAAGAGCATCTTCCACTTCACCTAAATGAAATGGTGACCAAACTACTTGACACTCTACTTACAAAAACATGTCATAGAAAAGTGTAAAAGATCCTGTTAAACTCAGAATAACAGCAGGTTGACATGTAGACTTACATTGCATCACCTTCACCTCCTTCCCCAGGGGCATCCAGAGCCCCCTGGTGGGGGCGTGTGCCAGGAAGTTTCTGGCATCTTCATTCCCAGGGTCAGCAGGAATACAGTCCTCTGGTTTTTCCTCGTGCTCCTGCAAAAAGAAACCGTTACTAACACAATACAGGTGAAATTTCGAGAAGAAAAAAAAAACTCAGTAACTGAAATTTCCTGAGTTTGTATGTTTTCATTAACGTTACCTTAATGAACCCTGGTGGAGGTTTTTCATAGCTGCACAGAAAAAAAAAATATTTTAGGTGTGTTTTATACGTTTTGGAGTAACATTTTCCACCGATGCATCTTAAAAATACAGTATTTTAAAGTCACTCACAAAGTCTCGATGTGTTTAAGCTTTTGTACCTCCTGGTTGAGTTTCTTCGTATGCGTCTTCAGTTTATCGAGTTCATTTTTGGATGTCTTGTGCTTCTTATGCTCCCGTCTGTCCTCACTCTCTCTGGCTCGCTTTCTTTCCGACATTTTAACGACACCATCCACTTCTTTTCAGATTAAATTCCAGTTAGCCGGGCTCTTTTGTGCGTCTGAATCATTTTCAAGTTAGTATTTTAAAGTAAAGGTGTAGGGCGCTAACGGGTTGCTAACTCCCTGCTTTGCTAAAGAGTTTCTCTACTTCCTGTGAGGCCGGGCTGGTTATTGAAAGTGCAGCGCCACCTGCAGGACAAAGGTGGGAATAATAATAAAAAAAAAAAACAGGACGGGGCGGTTTTTTCCCCCAGCTGCTTTAATATGGAAAACTAAATTATACCCAACGGTGAATGTTTTTACTTTCCCAAGCTTTCACTTTACAGAAAGAAAACTGAAACGTTAGAACTGTAAATATACAGTCATATGTTTATTTTACTGTTTTTATCTATTTTTTTTTTTTTTTACTTTTTTCAATGCGGCACTTGAAATGAAAAATGAAATTTTCTTTTTTTAATTAAACAAAAATGATTAAAAAAAAAATAAATAAAAAATAAATTTTCTAGAGAGCTGTTCTTAACGAAATTACTTTTTGTTTATACCTGTGTAAACAAAAACACAAAATAAATCTGTCTAAGTCTACAGGACTTAGAATTTTACAGTTGTTGATGTAATGTTTTCAGTGGTTATTCTAATTAATTCTGTTTTAGGTAACAGTCCCATAGTCTTTTTAACCCATGTAATTTAATTTGTACTTTGGAGAACAAATTTTACATCCTTTGAAATGTTTATATTTTGTCAGGTTGTAACTAAGAGCAGCAACCTATTATCGTGGTTTTAGCACAAAAAACAATTTAATATTGCATATTTGTTACATTAATGCAGATTTTTGCAAGGTTTGTCTTGGTAAGTTAAATAACATGCTGCTTATTATCTGCTCATCACTGGTGTTGCTACTTTTCACATATCCATTACTGTAAAAATGTCCACTGCTGTTTATTGTTTTCTTTATTCTCCAGACAGATTATTTGTATTGTAAAAACAATGTAGAGTACTGTATAATATTTTTTTATAAACTTTACTAAGGTTCACATTGTGCGACCACTTCTGGTATAACCTTTTCCTGCTGTAACACCACAATTTCCCCATTGTGGGACAATAAAGGGGTTTTCTATTCTATTCTATTCTATTCATTTTTTAAATAAAAAAAAGTTTACAAATAAAAATCTAAAAGTAAAAAGCTGAATTCTGAATTATTTGTAATCAGTTTATTTTAGGAATCTGTTAATAAAAGCCTTCTGAAGGCAACTGGCTGTGAATAACATATTCTCAATATAAATTGTCCTTTGTAGAGGTTTAAAAGCTTTGCTAGGTTTTAAACAATTAGTTGTTAGCTGTTTCATCTGTACATTTTTTTTCAGAATGAACACAAAGAGAATACCCAGTAAAAAATACATCACTAGTCCTGAAGAGATGCTACTTAAGGCAGAAAAAGACTGGAGACTGAGGCATAAATTTAGCATCCAGCAGGATAGGCAGGGGGTGGGCAGGAGGTAGGCAGGAAGAGTTAAAAATGTTGTCCATAGACATCCCTTCTAGTCTAAGAGAGCTTCAGCTATCTTTGTGGATTTAACAGAACTTTTTAGTCCTTGGATAAACAAAGCTGATGGACACATATCAACAAAAGATGGTTCTACAATCTACAAACTACAGAAGAGAAATTGAATAAATCAGTGGTTCCCAATCTTGGTACCACTGACCTGTAACCTGATATAAATGAAGGGATGATTATCATGCTTCTGTAACACTTGATGACATCTCTATCCCAATAACTTTGTTTATATTCTATCTTATAGTACCTCAAAGGAAGACCCTTGCAGTCAGATATTCAGTATTAGATGCATGATGAATAGAAAATAACGAACAAGAGACGACAAAGCAGCTTTTAACGTTGAAAAGGTTTAATTTCAGAATCACAAGTTGAATATAAATGTGAGGTATTTCAGAATACTGTTCACCGAACAGTATTTCCACAATAGAGTAAGAAATCAGTCAGTACAAATACACAATATATTCACTTAAAACTATTAAGAAAATGTACAATAAGAGTAACTAACAGTACATAGGCAAAAAAAAAAAAAATCTCAAAGAGTTTCAATATTCAAAGGTCAGACATTATAGTAAAGCTCTTCTGTACAGATTGTTAGGTGGTGTGCCTGCGTAAACAACAACCAGTATACTTATTTTGGTTTCAGTTAAAGGTATGAATAATGTCATTGGGTTACTTTTCCTTTATAAATGTATATAGATTTACTGAACTATTCATGCAAAATATAGACATGATCTGTCAGTCTGTCTATGCTTTTATGCTCACACCGCTCCCTAACAAAGGATCAAATGCTGGGAGTTTGTTAATGCATGTCATAAAAAACCTTCTAAAGTCACATTGTATAATAATTTGTTCCTAATTTCTGTAATAAATGTGTGTTTGGTAAAAAATCAAAGACAGGCGTATAAACCAGCTTGTTGTGCTGGACATGTCCCCGTAACAATAGAGACTTTGTAAGGGAGCCAACTCCAGTTTAGGAGTTTCCAAGAAGCATTCCCCTTCATCTGGCGCAGCAGAATGTGCGGGAACTGATTAGAACCTCAATGCTCCTAATTAAGAACAATGGGACGTTGAGGAGCGCCTTCACAGTCAGCTCAGCAACACTGACACTTCCCGCACCGCACAGGCTCGGAAACTTAAACAATCCAAGTTTCTCGATAGCTCTGGTTTAGACAAGTAGGAACATTGGTCCCTCTTGTTTTTAAGAGCAAGAGTAAAGACAAAAAAGAGAGGAAGACCCTTAGAGTGAGGAGAGGAAGTCCTTCAAGCCTCCCTTCTTTTTGCCTTGGCTGTCCTCTCGAGTAAGGATCTTACTGAGACGCTGAACCACCCAGTTCTTGGATTTACAGGAAGACTTGGCGGACGATGTACTTGACCCTGACATGGTGGAAGTAATAGAGGATCTAGAGGTTGGAGACAGAATATAAAAAGTTCAGATAAAATAAGTGGCGCTTTAAGTATGATAAGAAAAACAGAAGCAAGTTACCTTGGAGTAGAGGAGGGGGTCTTCTCCTTGCCTGGGTTCTTGGGCGTGGTGTGGGATCTGCTGCTAGACTGAGGAGTCTTGTATTTGCCAGCGCTCCCTGGTGTGCCGTGGGTCTTAGCGAAGGTGGCTATAAAATCTCTGTTCACTCCTTTGTGTATGGATGTCTTACTGCAAGCGTGGCAGGTGGCCATCTGGGATGATAAGAGAAATATAAGACGTATTCATTAATACTTCATGTTGCATTGACATTCATGGTGTATGGAGGTTCTCAACATCTCACTCAAATAGGATCCACCTCTAAAGGTGAGATTTAAATAGTGGACAGGAGAATGAGATTGGATTTATTTAAGCTTACTTTTTATGGAGCAAATAAGTCAGGGATTAGTTTACAAACCAGATCTGGAAGAAAATCCAAGACTGAATAGCTCAGGTTTATGCTTTATACCTTAGTTAAGTCTGAATTATTTTTAGCATTTGCACTGGTATGAAGCAGCTTGATTAGCATGTTAAAGACAGTGGGCTGTTGCTGTGCAGTTTAACCTATTCATGTCACAGATACCAATTCTGCAATTTGATTGCAATTTGTTAATACTTAAATATGATCTAACTCAACGTGGAGAGATAAAAAACAATATCTGACTCATATGATAGATTCAAATAAAAAGGAAACAAGTAGGCATCAGTGAAAGTCATAAGGTGCAACCTTTCTATAATCAGATCCTCATGATTCAAAAAGACAGTCCAAGATTCCCGCCCTCGTGTAAATATAAGCAGTTCATTACGAGCCGAGAGTATAAAACAAATATAGAAGTGTGTCGCTGTGTAAAAACCAGGTCATCATAAATCAAATAAGAACAGGAAACTATTAAAAGCTGATTAAAGGACATATTACAGGACTATTCATCATCCTTTAGTAAAATATGCTGTTTGCCAACAGTTTTTTTTGTTTTTTTAAGGATTGAAGGCATTAAAAACAGTCAAAACACAATAAATAAACCACAAAAAAATCAAAACCTCAAACAGGAAAAAGCAGAAAAAGGAAAAGTTATAAAACCTTATTATAGTTATAAATGCCTTCTAATTCCTTTTATTCTATATTCCTCCTAAAATGACCATAACCAATTCAAAACGAGGCTGTCTGAAAACTTGGTAAACTCTACATGCATTAACACCAGCCATCAGTAATCAAAGCAGAGCTGAGCTGCTGACAAACACTGAGGAGATGGAAAACTCACCGAGACAAACGTAGCCATTTCAGATTCTGACAGGTGGTTTGCGCTGAGGACGAGTCGGTCAGTCAGGAGTTCAGACTGTCTTTCAAACTGACTAAGCAGAAAGTGTTTACTACAACACTCTACACGTCCAGCTTTATAGAGACCCTCCATCTGAACCCTCCTACTTTTCCACAGAGGCGGGGCTCAAAGGGGGACTGACCAATGCTCTGCAGAAATGCAGCTCAGATAATCACAAACATGTGAACCTAATGCTGAGTTCATATCTGCAACAAGCACCAAAAAGCTAATCTAATCATTTCAGTGAAACATTATGTAATTAATTCAATTAAACTCATACGAAAAACATCTTCATCCAGGCTTTACACTGATTTAACCTTGTATTGAAAGTATTGTATAACACTGAACTCTGACTAACCATGCCGACATAATATTATGACTTCATGAACCTGTTTAAAATGTGGGATTAGACGATAAATCTTCTAATAAAACTCACTTTTCTAAAAATAGCCTGCATGAAAGATATGTCGATGAAGAGGATTACAAAAAAATCAATAAAAATTTGGGGATTTCAAAGCACTACAAACTTTTGAAGCACGGTCTAATTGTTTGTGTGGCGCCTAGAACACGTACCCAGATTAACAGACATGTTTTAGAGAAGCAGGAATGTTACACATTACTGTGTGTCCACTGAACACATAGGAGCTATTACGCTGATAAAACTAAATTACACACTATGGGTTACTCCTTAGATGCCATGTTATGAAAAAACTGCATTTCTATGAAACTGTCTTCACATTATGAGGAAAAATTACAATTATTTTGAGGAATGTTTTGGTTTTAGATTCAGATACAAACAAGTGGAAATCAGATATAGTAAGAATATCTATTCTTACTATATCGAAAGTATTTTATGAGGGTACAGAATTTACTGTGGGATGTCGACACACTGACCAAAGCAAAAAACAGAATAAACATCTAAAAGATATAGTTGCTGTTTTGAACACAAGGGAAAAAGTAGGAGCCTCCTTGTAGCCAGCTGACTGGCAGTGCCCACCAATAGAAAGGGGAAGAGAAGGGCCTCTATTCTCTGCACAGAGAGAAAAAACTTGAAATTTTTCTCTTGTCACAGAAAAACACATTATAATATATTTGTGTTTTGACTCTGAAAATTTTTAAATCGTTAGTTTAGAGTTACTACCAGTGCCAAATCCATGTTTAATTGATTGCAAACAACTTTAGGGCAGATTTCTAAATCTGAATTTTAAAGAATTTATTTTTAATTTTTTCTTTGTTTACATTTTACTTTTCACTTGTACAGAATTTCACCTTCTTGCATTTTCATTATCATTATAAGATTCCCATCACTTCCTACTGGTATTCCGGCAACAAAGGCTTCTGTCTTCCCGCAGATCATTACAGCTTCATCAAATCAAAGCAGAGCAGAAAACTGCAAGCAATGGTCAAAGTTAATGTTTCCTCTCACTCCAGATTCTGTGAGCTTCATTAGCGCATAATGGCACACAATGTTTATAGAGACTAATGCAAAAGCTTTGATTTTACCGCTCTTAAAGCAATGACCAGCCATGTTTACAGGGGCTGATGGAGCGGCCTGTATTGGAGTGTCTGGCTTAGAGTTCTGGATAAAACACAGACAGCTGGCTACAGATGTTTGCAGCTTGTATGACCTCAGATTGTTTATCCTCCATTTAGCACCATAGACTGCAAGGCTAAACTAACAGCAGTACCAGTGTCAGGAAACTACTTTGGACCAGTGGCTCTTTTGCTTCATGTTTAGATTAATAAAATGGATATAACGGGAATTCTAATCCACACCGTGCCTGTAATTTACTCTAATCCCTTGACATGTTGGCCTTAGAACGTGGAGGAGCACACGTGAGTCGCTGTCAGGGAGAGATTTAATTTCTCAATCTTAGGATTAGGTTTGTAGATAAATAAGCACCATGGTCCATCAAGCATATGGCTCAGGTGAAACGTTCTGCATAGAGCAGGAATAAGCACCATTTATATACAGCTGGAGGGAAATTAAGCACATTCTTTTTTTTTTTTTTTTTTTAAAGCAGGTTGAGGTCAGATGGATAATAAAGAACACAGCCTCCTTTGAGTCAGCTGCCGTCTATTATTTTCTACAGCCTTGTGTATTTTGAGAGCCTATTTTTAACCTTGATTTTTCCAAACAAATATAGAAACTTTTTTTTATGACTCATGTAAAGCCTTGAGAGTTATTTTGATGGCAGCAGTGACAGAAACAGTTAACCTTGATCCCAAACAAATGCATCACAGCAGTAAAGCCTTGGATTTAATGCAGGAGCATCAGAATAGAACTACGGTTTTCAATGCTGTTGGAAGATTGTATTAAGAAGGAAGGACAAACTCATCTGCTGGGTAGCGTTGGAAATGTGACGAATAATAAAAATAAATATATTGTTTTATAAAACTTAAACTGTGAACATACACCTTTTATTAAAATAAGCTAGACATTTGCAGGAACACCAGTGTCAATGTCTAGAGTCCAACCATTTTAACATCAACATGGACAGAGATGATCTTATGGAAAAACAAAGCTCTTACTCCAAAAGGGACCCCTTCACACACTGCTGCCCATTAGGACAGACCAAAAACAAATGAAAGTTTACAGCTACATTATTTTTTTTCTCATAATAAGATGTATATTTATGAGTTGATGTAAGGCTGTTAAATTTAAGAGCTAACTGTCAAGCATGGCAGTAACAGCATCTTCCTGTGGGCCTGTTTAAATGTCACACATTGCTCAAAGTGTGCAGCATAACTGACTGGAAGGACTACATCCAGATTCATCGCCTGTACTTAGCAGCTAGATGGGTGAAAGATGGACAGAATATGTTGTATCAGGAGAACATCGATCCGAAATAAAGAAAAAGGCATAAAAATGAAGTTCAGAGAAATAAAATGTATGCTAACATAAAGCTTCTGGAAGGTTTCTAAAATTCTAAATCTAAGGCAGCTACTGGAGTAGAATGTATCACAAAAAAAGATTTGTAAATTATAAAATCTGCTTAAAGGAAAATTCCGGTCATATTCAGAATTCAAACTTCTGAAAGCACTTTAAATATTAAAATTATTACATACTGTTCAATAAATGATCAGTGTTTTTAATTAACAGTAGTTTCATGTGAATTTGCTCTAACGGAGGCATCCATGTTTGTCAAAGAGCACTACCGCCACCTACCAGTTTGTGACGTCACGGTGCGGTATCGGCTGTTGATGAAGTCCCAATGCTGTATCTGGTGTTTGTCACAACGCGCTATTATCCAAGTCATCTTGAAAACATCCTTCCAAATGTTTCTACATATTACGTGGTTTTTCTCCGGCCAGAAGTTCGATGGCTATTCCTCCTTCTTCAAGTTGGCAATCCAACGACTAACCCGTCCTTGGGGGATCGTGAATTGGAAAGATGAAATAATTATTATTTTTTCCACTTTTACCTGATGTATTACAACATCCAACAGCCATGCATGTGAGCATTGCCAGTTTAACTATAGCTCTCGTGAATTTCAATGGTGAAGTCCTCTCGAAATCTTAATTGTTGTTGATTGCAGATGTGTCTAGTAGCTCCTACTAGAAGCTCCGGCTTCCTCACACAGTCCAAAAACATGACTGTTAGGTTAATTGGCGTGTGTTTGCATGAATGGTTATTTGTCCCGTTTGTCTCTGTGTTGCCCTGCAACAGACTGGCGACCTGTCCAGGTTTTACCCCGCCTCTCACCCATTGACCGCTGGAGATAGAAACCAGCACCCCTCGCAACCCCAGCAGGGATAAGCGTGACGGAAAATGGATTGTTTTGTTGCACTGCCACCCTGTTTAGACCTTTTTTTCTTCCACACTTAATTCTAATTTTAATTGTAAACAGTTCTCTTGTTTGATGACTTTTCACTTTGTGGTTTACATTAATCAAAGT